AACTTTTGAGAGATTCTAAAAATGTTACTAAAAATCGAAAATATTTTTATTTTAATTACCTTCAAATAAAAATGTAATATATTTAACATAATTTTAATAAATTCCCTTTAAAATGAGAGTAAAATATATGAAACATAAATCAGTATTCGATCTTTGATTTATTTATCAATTTCATTACCCAAAATCCAGTTTTCTCACCTTTAAATTTGAAAGCCTTACAAAGTCTTATGAATAAAATGAATATGAAAAATATTTTAAATAAATCAATAAGTCATTTAAAAATCTATAATTAATTCGTTTTTTTGTAAGAGGTATTTATAAAATGTTAACAAAATTAAAAAACTAATTGGCTTAGTAAATCTTATTAACCTTTATCTTTGACATGGCTTCATAGCCTAGTCTTCTGTCCACTTTATTCAAGTTTTCTCTTCTTATTTGCGAATTTTCCTACAAACCATTGCCAGAGTTACACATAATTATTTTATTTCCCTGTTGGCGCCACTGCCGCACATAAATAACTCATAAAAAACAACCCACAAGAGCAGCCCGCAGATAGTTTAACAATTGTCTAACGAAACGTTTTTTTACGATGACCCACCGTTAGGTACCCGGCGATGGCGATCACTTTCCCTTCGACAAGAGGTAATAAATTAATCAAATCTCGGAGTGGACTTCTTTACCAAGAAAAACTGCAGCTCACACCTACACAGAGATTTTCCAAAAGGTACCAGGATCGGTGGTAAATGATTTGTTTGACAACTCAAACACACTCTCTCAGTGGGACACATTTTCCGGCTGACTTCGCAGAATCCGGGCATAGGAATCACTTCGTATCTGTGCCAATGATCGGAGTATGGCTGGACAAGATCTCAAACGCCTGTGTGGCCATCATTAACCTTTGAACTGACTAAATGATTGAAGGCAAATGCTCAAAGTCATGGCCACTTATCAAAATCGAATGTTGTCCCATTGCCCCTGTGATCTTATTAGGCATTTTCCGGGGGTTCCAACGCAATTATCACCCCCGCATAAAGCGAAATGTCATCGTTGACAGGCAAGTCATTGTGTCGAAGTCGTAGAATCTAATTCCCCCTCGGAAAACTGTTTCTTAATGAATAAGCAAAGCATTACGAAGGATTCCTCGTTAGTTGGGCAGAAACAGAAGGAGAAGAGATTTGGTTATCGGAAAGCTAATTAAATGACACGTTCCAGGGAAATTCGATTCAGGCGGGGCTAAGTCTGAATGGTTTAACTGATTTATATCAGGTTTAAGGATTATACTTTTTGCTTTGATAAATTGATCAAGAATTTTCATAGTCAGCTTTCTGATTTCAAGGAATTAAAGGGGATTTTTATTGGTAATTTTCCTCTTTTGATGGTTTTTTTTGGGTAATTTTTGCAATGCATACTTACTTACCATGCATAGTTACTTAAATATCCTAAGGTGTCTTCTACCCTATCCATACTTTCTTCTTTGATTTCTTTCTAGAACTCATTTTTCGGGAAAAAGTAAAATTAGGTTATATAATATTTATTCAATTTTGTGGACCTTTAAGATTTAAACAAATTTTAAAACACTTTTATATGGGCAATATTTGTATATATATTAACTTATAGTAAGTTAAGCAACAAGTTAAAAAAAAAAGGAAATGAAATTTTTAATAAATTTCAAGGAGAAACCACTGCTTGCCATCCCAGTTTTGTGTTTACTGCTTGCCATGAAGTTCGATTAGTATTTTACATGTCAAATGTAGGAAACCACTGCCTTACCTAAACACTGCTTATAAAGAGGTTGCCACTTAGCTTGGCAGTTAAGATTTGAAAATGAAGCGAATTCAAAAGATTAAAAGCGAATTCAAACAAAACAGTTTTTTTGAAAGAATTTTAAATATTTTTGACTAAAAATTTAATGTTTAAGCTATTTAACGCTTTCTTAATTTTCCTAATATCTCACCTAGAGAATAAAGCAAAAAATATTATACAAATTCTCTTATTTTCTTCCTATTTTTTTATAAAAATTTCTCTTGTTTTAATATTTACACACAAATACCTTTTTGTTCTTCATAAATAATAAACTCGCAACTTCTTACTCCCAGCTTAAAGCTATAAAAGCTCCTTAAAGAAACTTAATGCCACTTTAGCTCCGCTTTGATTAAGATATATAAAAATAGATCCCTCAAACTAAAAGGCAGTCAGTCGTGAATAATATATAGAGAAGTTGAGTGACCGGATAGTGGACAGTAAAAAGGGGATACCTATTTTCGATAGATTTCCTTTCAAAAAAGGTATACAACATATCGAGTTACAAAACTAAACCGCATTGCCACAGAATCGCGCCTCTTTCTAGGCATTTTCCCTGGCAAAAACATAAACCCATCCCACTCAGCAACAGTTTAACAAAGCCGACATTGAATTCCCATGGCAACCGAGGAAATTCCGCCGTTGTTGTTTATTTTGGATACAAATTCTAGCCAATGTCAGCTTAGAACAACAAATAACCAAATTAAATTTTAATAAAAGTTTAAAAAAAAAAAGTGTAAAAATGTAAAAAAAAAGTGGAACGAACAAGGAAAACCTGTGAAAATGTGTCACTCTAATAAATCACTTTTTTACACAGAATTTCGGCAAGCAATTCCAACTCGATAAATATTGTAATTTTGTAAAAACCTTGAAAACGTAACGCCTAGCCATGCCGACGATCCCAAAGAGGGAACACAAGCCAAATGGCGGGGGCAAAGGTTCGGGCATGGATTTCCTTAGTACGGGGATCAAGGGAACCGAGGTCACCGAGATGCAGCTAAAATGGCACGAGAATCCTTGTCCAGCTCCGCCATGCAAACAGGCATTCTGGTGGGCCAGCCAGCCCAAGCCAATCAAAATCAAAGGTTGTCCCAAGTGAGTATTATGAAGGGAAAACACCCAAAGAATTTTCTTTAAGTTCCCTGTAATTGGGGTGTCCAAACTAGGGTATATTAGGCAGATAGCTCTAAAAATGATTACACTGTAACATAAGTTTAAGTTTCTTAATGTAAATCTAAGATAATAATAAGATATTTTTAATCATAATCCAATCTCATGAAGAGTAGCCTTAACTTCCTTAACTCCTCACCAATCAAAGTAACTAACTTAATGCCTTGGGCAGGGGATTTCCTATGCCTCCTTTGGGGTCAATGAAATCCAAGACCAAAAACGAAAGTCATAAATTGCGTAAATAAATTATTAAACGCTGGCCGTGTTCGGCTGATGGTCAATACAAAAGGCCCAAAGCCAAAGGACACGCAAACTGGGTGGCATTCTGAATGGAAATATTCGTGTCCCGAACGGGAACAATGGTTGAGGGGTGATGTGAGGGGAAATTATGAAGAGTGTGCAAGTCGTTGAGTGCTTAAAACTAGATATTGACGCACTATCATAAAAATTATATATATATATATATATATATTGGAGTAAAGATAATGACAGGGGCTGGACTTGGGTCGGATTAAGGTCAAATGGGGAATAAGGATGATCCCTAAATATGATAAAAAGTTAGTAAAATTTGTATCAGTATATCAGTATGTATCAGTTTCGAGGTTTAGGAAAGTTCTCTTTTTCATGACTGAAGGTTAAAGGGGAAGTAATTATTGGGCAAAATCGTTTTTAATTAGAGATACTTTTTAAACAGATTTTACTTAAGCAGACTAAACTCTTTAATCAATATTTTTCGAAGGAGTTTCAAAGTTAGATTTGCAGTTCCATCTTAAGAACTTACTTATTTGGCACCTTTCATGTTTATTTTTGTATAACTGGAAAGTAACTTAACCTAATTTTAAAATAATAACAAACCTTCTAGAGCTTTTCCACCAAGGTCTAAGGTCAATAAAGGAATTCAGTCATATAGAAAAGATTAATGAGTAAATGAAAACTACCGAATGAGTAACCTGACTTTTATGTTCTTCAGTTATATAGAAGAACTATAAGACTGCTGATATATTCCACCCAAACCCAGTAACTTTAATCATTCATCTACTCACTGACCTTTCCTTTTGGCCACTCCCACTTTCATATAGCACCTCCTTCGAGTGCCAAGAAATCCACTTAATTATGCTCACTTTGCCGTTGAATTCCGCTTATCAAGCAGCAGGTCCCAACCACTTGACCTTGGCCATTGACATTAGCCAGGGAGTTAGTCGGTTCCAAGTAATAGAACCACCCACCTCCGAATTCAATGTCAGCCAGCGAAATGCGTGAAGTCATCTCCAACAATGTGACAGGAAATGTGGACACTATCGTATGAAATTCAAGGTCCTCCAACAGGGCAAGACCTTTAATTGGAGTCACAACGACTTGGGTGGGAAAAAGGGGAAAAAGAAATGTTCTTATGCAAAGTAGAATTCCTGGGAACTTGGATTTGGCCATAGCGACGCGACCGACTGTTAACAGTTTGCATTATTATTGCAACACCTGGCCATCAGGTGTGCCTTAAACTACGACTCTAGCTAGAAGATGCACTGGGAGAAAGTGGGCTTAAGTTACTGTGAATGCGAATTGCACTTTAAAATATTGCAAAGGATATTTTTTTTTAACCAAATCGTTCCTCTATCCATCAAATCTCCGTTCTCTAGATTTTAACGGTATATCAAAGCATACTTTTAGGCACAATGTAATTTTATTTTCAGACCTCTTGATGAATTCCTTACTAATTTTACTAAAATCAAGCAGAATCTCAAGTATTTTCTGATCAGGAATGGTAAAAATAATTTTAAATGGTCTCTTCCAAGAGATCCTTTAAATGAACTACTAGTTAAGTTACGATTTACGAGAAAAATATCAACAAAATAAAGTCAGGGTCAAAATAAAATTTCTCAGAAGTAATTTCTAACATTTCTCCGACTGCACGACCGAGGGCTGACCACGGGCCGAATAAAAAGTCGAAGCCGGGTCCGATTGCAGGTCCTGCGAGTCCTTTGGTCATTTGGCGTTTGCCATTCAAACCGTGCGGTACGTGTTCCGCGGCAAACCAAAACAAAAGCAACACCTGAGCGGGCGGCCATAGAACGACCACGACGAAAAAAACAAAATAAAGGGAAAAAATATTGATTAACTTTTTCGGTTCGGTGGGTGAGAGAACCGTGTTGTGGCTATTTATAATGAACGAAGTGGTGACCGGTGGCCGGGAGCAGGGATAACCGAGGAGGTGGAAGCGGAGACCATGCCAGAGACGAAGCAACAGCAACAACAGCAGCACCCAGCACTCACAACACTACATCCTGAATCCAAGACAGAACCAGATCCAGAACACTTCCCCGACAATAGACCGAAGAACTTCTCCTTCGCCAGCAGCTATCCTTACGCACCAGGACGAGTCTCCTCCAACTCGAACTCTATCGCGAACTCCAACTATAACTCAAACTATAACTATAACAACACCTCCAGTTTCAACGTCCAGCGATATCAGAGTCCCTACAATTTCCAGCACGTGGTGACCAACGCATTTTCTGTACTGCGTCATCAGCCCTCGGAGGAGCAGGATCTTGATTCTTATCCAACGCGACCCCAACAGGCCATCGTGCGTCCAATAAGGCGGGAGGAAGGGATTACAGATCAACAGGAGCAACATGTAGAGGAGCCTGCTGTTAATCCTACACAGAGATCCTTCTTCTCACGCAGCACTCAGGAGGTCCGCAGCTTTGCCGATGAGCTGAGTCAGAAATTGCGCTTCCTGGCGCCGGAGGAGCAGAACTACGGTGGTCGTCAGAGTGCCAATTCCGGCGCCTGGATGGATCCAGCGATGGCGCAACGACCTCGCTTCGAGACCACAGTGCCGCAGGGCATCTTCCTGCCGCCGCCCCATGAAGTCCAAATGATACCGGCCACCATGCTAAGGAGACATGTCTATGCCTACTCCTCCTATCCCATGATCCTGCAGGGCTACTACACCAAGGAGCCTTCAAGTGAGAACAAGGAGCAGAAGGTGACCGCCACTCGGCTGAACGGAGTGCGTGCCACGGCGGCAGTGGCAGCGGCCACAGCTGCGGCCTCCAAGTCCTCCCATAACGATTCGCAATCCCTAGCCGGTGGTCTCCACATCACCAAGGCTCAGTTCCAACAGCAATTGCAGCAGCGTCGCTCCAACAACACCAACAACAACAACACCGACAAGAGGTAATAAAAAGTCCAACCCCCAAATGGGGTAGGGGAGGGGAAGGTCCAACAACTGACCAAGGCAAAGTGGGCCAAAATATATTACCATAAATTCAAATGAGTAATATACAGCCGAGCTGAAATGGAAATGGAACCAGAACTAAGCTCCCCGTTTTAGCCCCAACAACTTGGCTTACTACCTTTATCGATTGACACCTTAACAATTCAATTACAAATGTGTTTTTTGGCTTTAAAGAGAAGGGAAGTTGTAGTTAATAGGATTTCATTATGATTATAAGGTCTGCAGTGGAAAAATTGTAGGCGTCTTAATTCACTGTTGCCTTTATTTCTTTTTCTTATTACATCTTACGCTAATTTCTACATGTGTTGGTGACATTTACTGATCGTGCAAACAGGACACACATAGTGTTCGTTAGCATGATCTTTATGCAACAGTAAGGGAGAGGAATACATTGTGCTTACAACTGTGTATAGATAAGTTAGTGTGACTGCTTGTTACACATGCTAGTGTGACCGCTACATTACTACAGATGTATGTTCGTATGTTTAAGTTTGCCTCAGAAAATGGCCAAGATTTTCCGCTTGTTTCCCATAACATTTTCAAATAATATATATTAGATTTTATTACTAACATTTTGACATAATCAAATATTAAGCTAAAGGAATAGGTAAATAAGACGAAAAGAGAAGAGACTTACCTAACTCAGTTCCTTCAAATGCCTTACATTTTCCCCCACTTCTTTAACCCACTATTGACTCTTCAAGAATTCAATTAGAAATGCTTTTCCAATAACATTCGGACATTGTAAATTCCCTGAACGGTTTGATTAATTTATTTAGCGCATTCTCGAATGTGAAACTCGTTTGCCTTGCATAGAAGAACATGCGAGCGAAAAAAGGGACAAAGGACCCTCGAATGTGTCGTGCCAGTGGAGAATATCCTATATTCCCAGCTCAGGGCTTAAATAATTTAAATCAAGATATTTCGTAAACAACAACAATAGCAGGGGGAAAAACAGCGTAAAATAGTGCCACAAATGGAGGGAAATTAAGTTCAATTACCACACCAAAAGGAGCCAGAAGGACACCTATGGTGAGGCAAAATGGATCCCTTAAATGGATGTTATTCTGGCAAATGGGTTTTTTGCGCTTTTTTGGGTTAGAAATTTATTATGATAGGAGGGCAGTAGTGACTAAAGAGTTGACTAAATGGAAGTCATTTGGCTTTAAGGGGTTACTCACACAGATTTAATGATTACATTTTACATTTTTCTATTAGTTTTTTCTCAAAATTTAAAACCTATTCAAGCTTAGTATGAATAGAAGTTTATTAGTACTGAAAATCCCAAACTATAAGAACTTTTTCACTATTTTATCGTATTAAGAACGTATGTATATTTGATATCTGATACTAATATATCTGCTTATCCCAAATGCTATATCTTATCGATTTAGTTTGTTAGAAATTATGTATACCCACTAAAGAGGCATAAAAGGAAACCGGACCATAGGCTCCTCCATACCATTAGCTGATTGCTTTGGTCTTCAGACCCAGACCCAGAGAAATGTTGTTAGACATTCGCCAGCAACTTCAATGTGACTTCCTGTTTGTGGGCCAAAAGTAGCTAAAAATTTGCATAGGTCACGAGTTCAGGTGCCAAGTTCTTCTAGTGCAATGTCTGACAATGTTATATACACTAGCCATATGCATATACGTACATATATATGCGGTAAAAAATGTTTGTTTCTTCGTTCCAACGTTAACTTGCCGGGCCCATACATATAAATTAGCAAGTCATAAATTACTCAGGAACTGCGGAGTGGACTCGGAGCGTAACTTTAAAGCTTTAAAAACAAAATCGTTGCCCTCCTCCACATCTGACCCAAAAGTGTACTGAACTTTGGCTTAAATTGATTCGAATCGGAGATGTCTTGACAAGCGGCCTGTGAGGGCGTTGAGAAATGCACAAATTTGATGTTTATCGCCTTGGTAGTGAGTGCAACAGATTTGGGTCTAGGAAAAAGGACTAAGCTGCACTGGAAATGCAAGGATTAAACTTAAGAAAATATATGTTAGTTTAGTATTCGATTATTTTAAAATTTAAATAATGTCCTTTACCGTAGTTAGTATCTTAAAACTGATTTAGCTCAGCAAGTTTAAGATACTCCTTCATTTAAGAACCTTCTTAAAAAGATTTAAAAATTTTTTCTGCCTGAAGAGTTTGTTGAACTGGGTCGAGGTTTACTAATTGATGGCTTTCACCTGCCACGCCCACTTGCTTTCCTTCTTACCCCTTTTGCAGACCCATCGTACCGCCGCCGGAGCCCTACAAGAACGTCATGTACGACCGTCGCGTCATAAAGGGCAGCAACTTCGGCAACTCCTCATTGGTGGTAAGTTGTATGGCAAATAGCTCAGTTCTCTGCCAGCCCTGACCCGGGCGACTAATCCACTTTATTTTCCACTCCAGACGGATGTGGATCCCTTCGACAAGGCCGCCGAATTGAGGCGTCGCAATCAGTTGCGCAAACGGACGATGCAGTGCCGCAATCAGAGAAATGTTCTGGGAACTCCGCCGCCGGTTAAGGGCCGCAAGCATGAGACCATACAGACGGAGAAGTATCTAGAGAAGTTGGTGCAACGCCCACCGGAATTCTCTATTGACACACAAACGGATCTGTTCCTGGAGAAACCACCAACGCCTCCATTCATACCGGCCAAGGTGGGCATTGATGTGGGCACTGAAATCGGAGAGGGAGAACTCTTCCACTTCGATGCCGAGGCTCAGCCAATCATTGATGTGCTGGTGGACGCTTGCATTGAACAGAGCATGCTAGAGGTGGCCCACGAGATGGAACTGGCCAGTCTGCGGCGCAAGCAGGAAGAGTAAGTGGTTCAGGGATTTGTAGAATTTTCATGAGTATAACCATCTTCTTCAGATTCCTCGCGCAGAGGGAGGCTGAACTTGCTGAACTGCGACGTCTGGAGGCGGAGGAGATGCGGTTGCAGGCGGAGAAGGAGCGTCGCTTGCGCCAAGATGCGATTGCCAAGGAGCTGGATGCTGAGATGCAGAAGAGCGTGACGGCGGCCAAGTTGCTCCAAGGACACATTGCCAGTCTGGTGCCAGAGGTCCTGGAGAACATTGAGCCCGCCAGCGATGCCGTAAAGAAGGAGCAGCTGATGAAGAGCATCTGTCCCTGGTTGTCCGCCGAGGTGGCCGAGGAAGTGGGTCACATTGTGGACTCGCGTGAGATCCTCACCGCCATCATTCAGGAGATTATCAAGCAGCGTGCCGAATTATATGCCGGCTATAGGGAACCTGAATCGGAACCATCTGGCCCAGATGCTGGCATTTGTGAGGAGGAGGGCTGCGCCATCGATGAAATGGAGGCGTGTCCCTGCGAAACGGAAACGGAAGAGGAGTGCCCTGAACCTCGGCCACCGCCTCCCCATCTCTAAATGATTTCGTTAGAGTTTAGTTAATATTTCGAGTCCTTAAAAATGGCGTTTTCTGACCCCATACACATACATACCACTCACACACACACCTGCGAATGTACTGCTATGAAATCAAGGATGGCTGCTACTTTGTTTTTGTGTCTGGCGAAGGACTCAATTCGCGCTAAAAGAATTCGCAATCCGGCGCCAAACACAATTGCACAGCGGCGGCGGCGAAATGGAATCGAATGGCAAATTGTAACTGGATAATTGTTAAAGGTTTTTGTGTTACCGAAAATTCAACGAATAAAGCTCGACAAAGTAAACTCAATTATGTAAATGTAATTCTCTTTAATTTCAATGGGGTTAGAGTTAAACCGTTAGACCTATTTGAAAGAAATATTGTACGCTAATCAAGTAGAAAGCCAACTTATTTAAATAGGTTTATTATTATTTAAGGTGATTTTAATTAGTATAAAACAATTGTTTTATTTTTTTTGGGAGCTTCTCATTATTATAATTTAATAATTGCCTTTTTAAAAATTGAAAATAACCGTTTGAAAATTGTTGGTATATTTTAGTATATTTACAATAATTGCAACATAAATTTAAAGGATCCAAGCTATGTTCACACTAAATATTCAAAAATATCGGTACTATCCTCTATATATGAATATGATATATACATAAATATAAAATAAACAAAAAAATGAAATACATTTTCATAAATTTTATTTTTGATTGACTGTTGGACAAGCAAGTTATATTTTTACGCTATTGCCTTACGGCCACACTGTCTGTGACGTCACATTGTTTTTTCCCAATTGAGTCAATGAATCACCACTAAAAACAAAGTTCTTTTAATTCATTAATAAATCGCCTTCCTTTGGTGAAGTTAAGATGTTTTCCAGCGGTCCCAACTACAACAAGCTGAAGACCAATCTCCGATTGGCTCTGAACCGGCTCAAGTTGCTTGAGAAGAAGAAGGCGGAGCTGACACAAAAATCCAGGAAGGAAATAGCCGACTATTTGGCCACAGGAAAAACGGAGAGGGCACGAATTCGCGTGGAGCACATTATAAGGTGGGTGTAGGAATATAACATCTATAAAAAACCACCATATAAATAAAACAAAAATTTTTAACAGAGAGGACTACCTTGTGGAAGCTATGGAAATGGTGGAAATGTACTGTGACCTGTTGCTCGCAAGATTTGGCCTGATCACACAGATGAAAGAACTGGACAGTGGAATCGCAGAACCGGTGGCCAGTTTAGTTTGGGTTTGTCCTCGACTCCAGAGTGATATAGCTGAGCTGAAGATCATATCTGATATATTTGTCACCAAATACGGCCCCCAATTCGCCGAGCAATCAAGAACGGCCACCGGAGAGCACTATGTGTCAGAGAAACTGATGCACAAGCTTACGCTGCAAGCACCGCCCAAGCTTCTGGTGGAAAATTACCTCATTGCCATTGCCAAGAACTACAATATCGAATACGAGCCGGATCCACAAGTTATGCAGGAAGAACAGCCTCAGCAGCCGCATCTAATTGACCTATCCGATCGGAACAACTTGAGTGGAGGTGGTGGTGGTGCTCCACCGCCGCAAATGGGCTTCATTGGTTATCCGGCAGTGCCGCCGCTACCGCATATGCCGGAGCCACCGAGTGTCAAGCCCTTCAATTACCCACCCTTCGGTGGAGGTGGCGGTGGAGGCGGAGGTGGTGCCCCTGCCGGCGCTTATGCTGTACCCCATCACCCACAGCCACCGCCACCATTTGCCTACAATATACCGCCCACTCAGCCGGCGCCGCCTGCAGTTCTGCCACCCAAGTGTGCCGAGGAGAAGGACCTAAACACCAACTTCATCAATGTAAATATACTTAATAGTTATTAATTTTTGATAATACCATAGAAAAAGGAAATGCTACGGTTTATGCAGTTGCAATCAGAATTGTTAAAAGTAGTTCTCAGCTTTAGCCTAAAAGGTATACGGTAGTTAATATAAATCTTTAGATCCTGTAGAACTGGTCCAGACTATTGTTAAATAGTTCTGGCGTGTTCAAAAATGATTAAAAACTAGGTGTTATAGCTTAAAAAGTACATTAATATTCTGACTTCAACTGCAACGAGAGTAAAGCTCCTTGGATTATAGTTAATTGATAAGCTTTGGCATGTTACTGCATGATTTTTGGGCTGTTGCAGCGTGAATCGAACAATACGGATGGCTCGGGCAGCCCGGATGAGAATATTTTGGTAGGTTATCTCTATGTAGAATGCTGTTAAATCAACAACTAACTCGCTTATCGTTCTGCTATATCACTTAACAAACGAATATAACGCTTCCATGGGTTCTCTTCCTCTACTCTTGTATATCTGTGTGACGTCTTTTGGCCCACTTTTCGTGTAAGTCCAGTCATCCAAATGATTCATAGTTCGCTGCCCACTGTCTGCCGCCCGCCTGTTATCATTTCGCTTGTCTCGATGTGTCCTATTGATTTATTTTGCCAGTGTTTTCATTTTTTATTTGCCTTATGTTTTCTTTAATTTTGCTTGACAGCGCCCTAAACCCGAAAATGATCCGCCGCCGCGGTACACATCTATTAATCCCGTAAACCTCCAGGTCAGGACATTGGCTTTGACCCACTTAAATTCTATGAAGTTGCACAGAAGCAAACCTATTATTCTGAAAATATCCACAAAATCGGAATATGTTTTTAAATTTTATCAAAATTTATTTTAAGTTAACCAAATTAACACATTGGAATGATAATTTTATTTAATTTTAAAATTTGTACAGCTTTTTAAACATCAGAAAAATATGGTTTCTTATATATAGCGGCTTGTGTGGTTTCCATAATTTGAGATATTAACAAGTTTTTATTTCTTCCCCTTCTTAGAATGCCAATAAACCCAAACCCCAACCCCGATCCAAGCTGCCACCGGGCAATCCCACGCAACCAAGTGCTCCTCCACCGTTGGATTTCCCCTCGCTTCCCAACGTACCCAATGATCTGCCAGATATCCCGGGTGCAGGCCCCGAGAAAAAGGACGACGAAGAAGAGATCGATTTTGATGACCTTTCACGCCGGTTTGAGAACCTCAAGAAACGAAAGTGAAGCAGAAGGCAGAAAATCCACTTTTTAATACTACAGTATATTTGTTATAATCTCTGTCCTGTTCTATAAATAATCCCATATATATATATAAAACTCTTGTTCACTTTTTAATTACATTGTAGAGCTATAAAGATAATTTTGCAATATATATAAAAACTCCAAGAAAAGCTTAGAATTGAAACAACTTTTAAGCGAGATCTTCAGTTCAATTTGAACAGTTAACTCATCACATTATTTATGTTTGTGAAATCTGATAGGAAAAATTGTTTACACATTGCTTCTCCTTCCACAATCTTATTCATTTTCAATAACGAATAGATTCCCATGAAAGCTGTTTTGAATACACTGAAAGTTGTGCTTTCATTTTGGTGGGCAAGCTAAGAAATAAAAATAAAATATGGTTCAAAAATTTGGGATTGTTATAATTTTCTCATATTCACAATTTCACACAAATATTAACAAATCTACAAGGAACAACAGAAGATTTTTAGGGAAGTTCCCTTTTCTAGAAGACTTCCTCGCTCTCCACAACTTCCTTAAGTTCGAGCAGCTCCAGAAGTCCCTTTCCCTTTGTTTCGTTTCTTACCAGCTCATCAATGACACGATATTGGCCAGGATCTATGAGCAATGTAAGATGCAAAGTGGCCTCGTCCCATTCTTCGTGCTCCACCTTGTTGGCCAACTTGACAACAGACTCCTTAAGCTTGCCACCGCCTTCCTTTCCTGCAAAGCTAACCCGCAGCTTCATGCGGGATCTCTCGATGGGCAGATGCTCTCTAAGCATTTTGATAGCCTCCAAAGTATTTTGCTTGGTGTTTCTGTTCATCTTAACAGAGAAGTGGGCATCCTTTAGAGACTTCTCAATGATTGAGGCAGGGTATGGACGACGGGTCTCAGGATTTACACACAACGCAGCCACGGAGTTAACAATACTATTTAGCTGAGTGTCCAAGCAACTTTGGCGCTCTTTTTCAGAGACCTGGAGTTCGCCTTTACTTAAGATCTCCTTGCAAATCTCCGTTTCATCTGTTTTATTGAAGGCCTTCTGCAACTCATCCTTTTTGGCTGCCTGTCCTTTGGACACATTGGTGAACACTGTGTGGGTTTGCAGGACTTCATCGATGTCCTTTTCACTACATGAAAAGAAAAAAATAGTGATCAAATTTAAGTAAAACATATTTCACCATAAGCACGTGTTGCTTTTAGCGAATTATACCTGTTGCTCCTCCATGAAAGGACTTTGTTTTTATAGCAGGCTATCTCGAAACGTTTGCCGCCTTTTTTAAGCCTCACAATCGCAACATTTGTGAGGCGGATTTGATTTGTAGGCGTAAATATTTTGGACATTGTTGTTAAACTAAAAGCTGCGGAATTAGGGATGAGCAAATAAACAAAAACCCTTTCGATTGAAAAACTGCAGGTGGTTTAGAAGAACTTTGTTATTAAATAATTAAACATATAATATGAAATCAAATGAGATGAGATTTAATTAAATTATACAATGACGGAGCTTTTTTTGTAATTTAAACATTAACATAAATTGTTAAGCAATGAAAACTTGATTATTAAGACTTTACTTGTAATCCCCATTGTACCTTAAAAAGTCTCACCAAAAAATAATACTAATTTATAGTCATGCTTTTAGATTTTATAATTTATATTAAAGAGGGCATATACTAAATTTCCCAAATCTAATAATAATATTTCTCCCTTCAACCTCTATAGTTATCGTTTCCCGTCTATCGTAATTCTGCCATCTCTTCCACCCGCTGTTGTTGTTGCATCTCTTCTTCTTCACCCAATTCGCCAGAGCGCGCAGCAAACAACAAAACACACAGTGCTTAAAAACCGCGATTTCAATTGCCGTTAAAAACGTTACTACTCGAAATTCGATAAATAACTCCATCATGTGTCTGAAATTAAAGCAAATCACCATTAAACGACGTTCATGGCGAAAATCTGGAGATTTTAAACCAACTCCAGTGGCCCGACCGTTTAGTGGTCCCTTTAAACGGGCTACATGCCAAACAGAGGGACCACTAAACATTAGGCGAAGAGGACGGCACAAGGCAGACATCGATAAATCAGCGGCCCAAAGCAACACTGCAAAATGTTTGTAAACAGCTGACGAAGCCGCTAGATGGCGTTATTACACAGGCATTGCCAGATAGGAAAAATTCTGCAAATGCTGCCCTGCATTGGGAACGCCATTTTTATTGCAAGAAAGAAAGCCAAATTTTTCAAGTAAAAACACGAGTAATTAAAGTCTAATAATTGTGAAAAGACACCGCGAATATGATTTAATCGAAGACAAATTAATTCGGGTTGCGAGCACAACGAGCGGCGCTAAAACGTTGCCATTTTTGGAAAGTCCAAGGAGGTGTGTGTGTGTGGGGGAATGGCCAACAAAAAATGAGGCACAAGAAATGCCCAGTAATTGTATAATAAATTTGCCTAAAAAATGGTTAAATATGCTAAATGAATTGCCAACGAATTTGTTTATTCATAGGGCAACAGTTTATATTTCTATTTTCTGCCCTGCAACTGCTACATTTACAACTCTCTAACTATGCGTTTTATATGTGTTTTCGAAGTCTGCGTAAATGTATCAAAAATGAGACGCCTGTAAAAAGAGCAACGAATTGCATGTTGAATTTGTTTAAAAAGATATCAAAAGTGTTAAAACGTGTCTCTATATTTTTAGATATTTTCTAAAATTATTAAGCAATCAATTCTTTTATCTTTAAATAACAATTTTTATGTTAAGGAATCTCTTAGGACGCAGAGATAGAGACGCAAGAAATAACCTGTATATGTAGCTATAAGTTTTTTAAAAGTGTTTAAAATGTTTTGTTAATATCAGTTAAGATTTGAACAGGTATTTGATTTATTTATATCTTTGATATAATTTTATAATTTTGACTATTCAGCTTATCAATACTAGTTGCTAGGGAATGTATTAGATTAAAATAAAAAATTAAGGTCACTTACTTTTGTTTAGTTCTTCGATTAATATTCAAATTATTTATAGGTGTTAAAAAATGGAACAATATATAGTGCCCCTAGAGGAGCCCGTCTACTCGGATCTGCAGGTAGTGCAAGTGCCCCAAGATGAGGTTGGGGTGAGTAGTATCATAGGACTTTAGTAATTACAAAACTAATTTACTTTGTCTTTCAGTCTTTGGTCCTTCAAGATGACCAGCAGTTGGTGTTCAACGATCAGCAGCAAGTTGTCTATCAAACGGCGGCTCCTGCGCAATACCAACAGCCTCAGCAGTCGGCTGCACCCACATACCACATAATTGGAGGCGATGATCTCGCTCAGCAGCAGCAGCAGCAACACCAGCAACAACAGCAGCAGCAGCAACAACAACAACAGCAGCAGCAACAGGTTGTGATGCATCATCAGCAGCATCAAGTGCAGCAGGTACATTATCAGCAACAGCAACAGGATGCCCAGCAGCAGCAATTGCATTTGGAGCAACAGCAGCAGCAGCAACAGCAACAATATGTTCAGCACCAACAACAGCAACCCGCCATTCAGCATACGCAACAGATTTACTATACTTCCGAGCAAGTCTTGCAACCAAATGCCATTGTACAACATATGCAGCAACAGAAAAAACAGCAGCAAGTGCTGCAGCAACAGCAACAGCAGCAACAACAACAGTATCAGCAACATGCACCCACCTATCAGGTACAAGCCTCACCCCAAGGGCAACCGCAATTGCTGCAGAGCACCCAGCAGCAGCACCAGCAAACGCAGCAGCCACAAACGTTGCAGTTGCAGACATCACCACCCCAACAGCAGCCGCAGCAGCACCAGCAGATTGTCTACCGTATGACTACCACCCCCCAGCAACAAAGGCCCTTGGGGGTAAGTTAAGGATCTATACGCCTTACACTTTTACATCAATTTTAAACATAATTAAATATTCCCCTTCTCACTATTAGATGCTAAACAATACACACGTGATTGTCCAGCAGCAACCCGTGCTGATCCAAGCTCCGCAGCACCAGGAGCTAATTATGCGCCAGACGGCCATTCATCCGTACAATAATCGCGTCGTTTATGCCACATCACCGCAACAACAACAACAACAGCAGCAGCACGTCATCCAGCAACACGTACAACAGCAGCAAGTGCAACAGCAACAAGTCCAGCAGCAACAGCAGATGCAGCTGCAGGCTACGGCCCAAACAGCCCATTTGGTTCAGGCGCGTGTTGTGCCCCAGCAAACCCAAAACGTTGTCTACCAACAGTTGCAAGTGCAGAAGGTTCAGCCGCAGCAACAGCAACAGCAACCAGTGCAACAGCAGCAACAACCACAGTTGGTGGCTCAGCAGCAGCCGCAACTAGTGACCACCACTGCTACTGGAGGTGCTCAGCTCGTAAGGGCTGCCTTTAGAAAAGCGACTCGAGGTGGAGCTGTTTTGGCTAGACCAGCAACCCTAATCACCACAAGGCCCACGCTCACACCAGCAGCAATTGTACGTCAGGTTCGTCCACGAGGCGGAGCAGTAGGTTCAGTGCCCGGTGGACTGGTTAGGAATATGCGCCCTGCCGGAGTGCGACCCACTCGAGCTCAATTAGTGGTGCAGACCAGCGGCGCCGAGGGGCAGACAATGCAAATTGTAACTCCAGCCCAAATGAAACATATTACCATCAGCACGAATCTCGGCCAGCCGCAACAACAACAGCAGCAACCCCAGCAACAACAGCAGTTACAGCAGCAACCGCGTCACATCTATCGCACGCACATGGTCACCGATGGGAATCCTCAGCAGCAGCCGCAACAGCAGCAACCTCAGCAGCACCAGCATATGCTGATGATGCGGCATACTCCGATTCGATATAGGGCTCCTGTAACCTTGACCTCAGCTGTGGCGGCACCAGTTCCAGCACCGGCCCCGGCTCCTGCAGGTGGAGTGGTTCAGCAAAGTAATATTGGCATGGACCTGGAAGAGAGGATTCAGGCGGCAGTGCTGAAGAAAGAGCAACAAAAACCTCCGCCACCAACGCAGCCAGTGACTCCCAATCAACTGCAGCCTATGCAACTAGGAACGGGTACTACACTGACCACTTACTATCCTGGGGGAGCAGCTCCGCAGGAAGAGGAGCAACAACAACAACAACAACAGCAGCAGCAGCAAGTGGTCCAGAATCAGGCACAGGGAATACGTCCGCCCAGTGGAGCCAGCATGACATTAGCGGAGTACAAAAAGCGTCAAACTCTCTCAGCCTCGCCAGCTCCTGTTCCTGCACCAAATCCCGGCCTCGCACCCATGAGGGCAACTGCACCCGCAGCCATGGTTCGTCCAACGGCTAAAATTACACCCTCACAACCTACTGGTGCTTTGCCTCCGGGAACAAGGATTATGCAACCGCAAAGGCCAGTCCCAGCTGCAGTGGTGGCACCGCTTCCGGCTCCAGCAGCTGTTACTCAAGGATCATCCGTGATGAAGACTTCGCACAACAACTATGAGATCCACTCGCAACATGTACTGAACAACCGAGCCGGTCAAGAAATAGCAGAGCGCGATAAGAATAGTGCCAAAATGTTAGTGATCCTGGCCAGCGGTGAGCAACGTTTAATCACCTTTACGCTGCCACGAGAATCCTGTACGGTCCAGGATCTTCTTGAGCAGGTTGGAGTTCCTTTCGATCACAACACCACCATCCAGTGTGTTGAACATCGTGGTGCTAATGTCGATTTTGTGGTCACCGTTGGATTCACGGTTCATGAATCAGCCAGCGAATTGATTTCACGAGCGGAGGAGAGCCTTCAGATGAACCGCTCGCAGGAGAATCAAGCAGCAGTAGCCGGAGCAGCAGCTAATTCTAATTCTGCCGCCCCGAGTGCCGCACCCGCCTATGCCCAAGCAAATGCCGCAGCCGAGCAGGCAAAACGAGAAGCTGCCAGTTCGGCTAGTGGAAATACCTCAGTCGGAACCGTGTCATCTGCTGGATCTACTCCGTCGGAGGGCAGGAAACTGATCGATGGCTTCCTGGCCGTCTGCCAGCTATGTGGCTTTACAGGAGTTGATCACGCTCGTTGCGAGCGGTGTAAACGAGTCTTCCCAGAGCCACCAAAGCGCAAGTCTTATATGCCCAAAAACAGTGCTGCATCCTCGCCAGCATCGTCGTCTTCCAGCGAACTAGTGACCGCAGCATCATCAGCGGCGGACAAGAAACGAGAATTGGCAGCAGCTCGATTTAGCAAACAATTGGCCGGAGTGACCTATGCATCCACGGGAGTGGGAGTTGGAGCACGCGGTCGCGGATCCATGGCCATGAGAGGTGGAAGGGCCAGAGGAGGCAGACGGGTGGCCGAAGCGGATCCCGTGGTGCTGCTGAGCAGCGAAGACGAAGCTGATGAGGGTGAAGGAAACACGGACTCAGGAAATGTAAGTCTTTGGTTTAACAACTTTAATTGGTATTAATCTTAAATATTATAATTTTTCAGCAACCCTCCAACAATTCCAAGTTAATCTCCAATGGAAATCTTCATGAACTTTCCGCCGCCTTTGCCTGCGAGCCCAATTTGCCAGAGATCGATGAGGAACCTTTGTACAAAGGTAAGACCTAAATATAGCCCTGAGATTATAGTATCAGATTCTTGTTCGATTTTGTCATTTGTATATATACCGCGAACGAGAAGTTAGTTTTCTGCTTAAGAATTCTTGCAGCTATTTATACATAGTCTTGGGGTAACTTATTAATAGCTAGCCATCATTTTTATTTAAACTCGCTTAAAATTATGATTATTTTATATTTATTGAAAATCATTCTCGCTAAAAATTTGTAAATTAAAATATGTCTCTTTTATAAATAATGGGTATACATCGAATTAGGAAATAATTTTAGCAAATTGCTTCGCCAAAAATTCGAATTTAGCTATTTTACCCAACCTGTTTATTTTCGCTCTAAATATAGCTACTTTATAGCTATCAACAACACTAATGTATAGCAATGTTGTGTGTGCAGTAATTTAGTGTTGGCAATACCGGTGCCCTAGAGCAACAACGTTAATCCGCAAGAGGGCGCCACAGCCAGACAGAGCACGCCATTTTTACGGCTGTCATGAAGAAGAAGCAGAAGCGCAAAGCGAATGCGTGAAAACACATCGTTTTCGACATTCTTTTGCAATTTTCCCAGTCTTTCAAGTTTTAAGTAGTTTTTAATAAGCAGTTTTAGGTAAACTGACTATATTGTGAAATATCACAATGAACGATGAAGGTAAGCGGACGGGGAAAATCGATAAATCGAGATTGAATAAAAAAATGTGACTTGCAGCCACGAGGAAAACTACTGGCATTATTAAATAACTACAATGAAATGTTGTACCTTTGCAGATTTTACCCGTGGGGATGTTACCGATCTGTCAGATATCGCCGAGCCGGAACAGTTTTCAACATCCTTGAAATGCAGTTGCGTGCGCTTGGCTCCATACAGATTCGAGATTACAGAGCCGGTAAGGCGTCACCCCATGCATTTCCTTCCCCTGCCCCTAAAATGTGTATAATACATTTTTCTAATCATTAATTGGAAATTCCTCAGGTATGCTTCACTTCGAAAGGAGTTCGCATTGCTGGTAAACTGCAGGAAAAGGATGAGAAGTTCGAACTGCACATTCACAAGCAGGAAGTCATTAAGGTGATAGCCCACTTCGGAAATGTAGAGCCCGCTCAACCGCTGGTCACGCTATATCTTCTCAAGACCTGCGCCGAATATGTCAAGAACCAGCTTAAGTTGCCTGATGATCAGCATCACGAACGTAAGTATATCTGTTAAGAATTAGATCGACATTAATTACGTTGTAAAATAGATTGGAAAAAGAAAGCCGAATGTCTCAGAACAGTCCTCAGATTCCTAATAAATTTGTATTGATATCTTAAATTCCAGAAACAGGCTTTAAGACGCATAGTTATCACACTCGTCGCCTGATCCTGCTTTTCGATAGCGTATCCATGTCAGCCCGAGGTATTATCAAGACTATGTTCAGCTGTGTGGACGAGATATCCTCCACCGATGCCGCTGAGATTATCGAGAGGATCGCTGACTCTGATCGCAAGACGCAGGACAAGACCTCGCAGCCACCACCGCGCCAATTGAGAGCAGACGAACAGGTTAGCCTGCTGATGTATCCGCCTAAGGGAACCGGAAGCCTTTGCATCCGCATGGAGGACTATGTGTGCCTCACCAAGGAGTCTTACCTCAACGACATCATTATTGATTTTTACCTATTGTGGCTAAGGAACACATTGATTCCAGAACCGCAACGCGAGAGGACGCACATCTTCAGCACATTTTTTTACAAGAGATTAACAACGCTGACGCGGCCAGCTGACATGAAGCAAACGGCAGCCCAGAAGCGTCACGCTAGGGTACAGAAATGGACCAAGGTGGTGGACATATTTGATAAGGATTTTATTATTGTACCGATCAACGAACAGTCCCATTGGTTCCTGGCTATTATCTGTTTTCCCAATTTGAAAGGTCCTGTGACGTTCGACACGAATCAGCCTGTAGAACCGCAACATTTAAAGAGGGCCAGGGGCAAGAAGGTAGCCCTGCAGATTGGCAACACCACCATTACCCCGTTGTCAAAAAGGGGAGAGGGTGGACAACTTCCGGCCGCTCTTACAGCAGACAATGTTTGTCGAATAGCAGACGATGAAAGCGAAAGGGATGAGGCTGAGGGCGATGACAGTGACATGGCCTCGGAGGACAGTGAAAACTCGAATTCGGCCAAGGACCCACCACCCACTCCAACATCCACTACTACCAGTGCCCCCAGTCAATCGAACTCAAATCCCAGCGGAGCAGCGAGGAACATTTCTTCCGATGAGGTGCCAGCTGTTAAGCAACCTCTGATCCTTATCTTCGATTCCCTGGCGGGAGCTTCGCGGAGTCGCGTGGTAGCCACATTGCGAGATTATCTCACATGCGAGTACCGGGTGAAGAAGCCGGATGCGCAGGCGCACGTCTTCAACAAGGACAACATGCCGGGCCACTGCGTCAAGGTGCCTCAGCAGAACAACTTTACAGATTGCGGCCTGTATCTGCTGCAGTATGTGGAGCAGTTCTTTAGCGAGCCAATCAGAGACTACAGGCTGCCTATCAAGCAGCTGACCAACTGGTTCGACTTCCTGACAGTGACGAAAAAGCGCGAGGACATTGCCAATCTCATCCAGAAGTTGATGGATGAGGGCAATCAGCAACAAAGGCTTATCCTGCCAGTGATTGAGTTCCCCACTCTAAACGGTCAGTTGATGGAGTATCCCGAAGATACAGAGAGTGCTGAGTTTGAGGAAGAGGAAGGCCATGATGATGAGGATCACGGAAGTGAATTGGTAAGTTTTAGCAAGAGAATTATATTATTTTTTGTGGTTACTAACTTGCGTTATTTCTTGCAGCACGATGAAAACAATGCCGGCACCGACATGGAAGTGGATCCCGTTAACGAGGAGCCAACTCCGGGAGTGAAAACTGCCACGGTGGCCAGTGTGACCACAACGACAACTACGGCTACAACTGGTAAAAGATTCGTGCTGAAGCGACGTCTGCACAATGGTTCCATATCATCGAGTCCCAGCAATGGAAATGGAGAAGCTAGCAGCAATGGAGGTTCTCTGATGCCCCAGTTGGTGAGCACGGCGACTGGATCGGCCGGCATTCCACCTGGAGTCGCCCACCTAGCTCCACGTGGATCCAGTGGAAGTCTGAAGATCCGGAAAATTGAGCCGTAGCACCAACAGATTCTCGCCCTGCGAGCTCGCGATCCGGATGCGCAAATGCCCCACCTGCCTGCGCTGCTCCAGCTGCCACAGCTGCGGCACCATCTGTAAATAAGCCATTACATTACATCGGTTATTAATTCTATGTATCTAAACGTTTGCCCTTAAATCTTAACGTAACTAAAGTAAACTAAATCTTAAAATAAAGACTACTACTATGTATGAAATACAAAAAACTGCTAGCGTTTTTAAATCATATTATAGAGGTGAAATGGAGAAAGTTTTTGATTTTAGAAAAGTTTCCGTATAAATTTGCATTGCAAATTGTTACCGTTTTAAGTTTGTTAATATATAATTTATATTTACAACTATTTAAATGACCTTGAACTTTCCCTTAATAAAATTGAATTATAATCAGTTAATTAATCATTTAACAAAAATATTCATAATACGAAATGACAAATGAAAGCGAAATTAGTGTGGTTTAAAATGGGTTATTGGTGTGTTCTTGGGGAGGCTTTTCCGGCAACAATTCATACCACAGCCACAGTCCGCCCTTGCCCAAACCAGTTTCGCATGTCTCGCCATGTAGGCTAGAATCGTCATGTAAATGCAAACTACATGGTGGGACTCCCCGGGCAAATAGTTTGATGTAGAGTAATTTCGGCTTAAATAAGCAATCATTCATTTGGAGAAACACGTGTATATTTCGTAAGAACAAAATATCAGTTATTCGCTTTTGGTAGTTTTGCATTATATTGGTTAATCTTTAATTGATAGCCCCTCCACCCGCGATTTATGCCATGTAGTTACTTTAGAATATACATGGCGAGCTACATGGTGACTTGCACGCACACAAACGCACACGTGCATGCGAAGCAACAACACACACCAGCACGCCGCCATGTAGTTAACGGGCCAGAAAGTTAGGTTAGACTCACAGCTGGTCGCGCGTTGGTTGGGGAAGGAAGGGAAGAAAAAAAGAGAATTAAGTAAGGGGTGAAGTGGTGGGGGAGAGGCGAATGGCAAGAGAAAAGCAAACCGCGGAAAGCTATCGATCTATCGATTATGGGCATATGGTTAAGATATAGGGAAAATATTAATGGAATTAGATATAATAATTTTTATAAATTGTGGAAATTCATTATATTTTATACATTGGAAAGGAAATATTATTCATGAGAATTTTTACCGAACGTTCAGTAACGCCTATTAGGAAATAAATAAATTGCATTTAACATTAACAATAAATAATTTGTGTGCATTAGTTGAATAGTTTTTATAAACGAGCAAACGAAAATATACTTTGATAAAATTAGGTTTATATTAATAATCGTTCGTAACATAGTGATACCATCTCTAGCGAGCTATCGATTCCATGCATGTTGACGAATTACAAGCCATCACTAGTTTATCGAAAATTTTACAGCACTTCGCCGCGTTTGCTGCTCGCTGAAGAAAAATAAAATTAACCAGGAGCGCAAAAAACGCGAATCGCAAATTATCTGCGCAGCTATTTAAACCAACGGGATCGAAAAGGTTCAGCAGATTGTTTAATTAATCATTCAAAATGATTTGTTTACTGCATAGTGTTGTTGTTGTGAAATAATTAATAATATTTTAAGGCAGATGGAGCCCCTCTCCGTGTAATTGTGTGCGTGCCTTTGCATTTGTGTGTTCAAATGTGTGTGTGTGAAAAAAGAAATTAGGGGGGAAAGCAGAAAGAAAGGAAGAAACGCTGGGAAATGGGCGTCTCTAAAGTTAAATGACATTTTTGCACGTAACTGAAAAATATATATACGTGTATTAATAAAAATAAATACACACTGGCCAGCAGGCAAAAAACAGAGGCGGAGAAAAGCCGTCGGTCGTCAGCCGCCGCGCGCATGCTCCAAAATTGGGAGTTAAATTATCGTTGTAGTGGTTATAATTCCGAACAGAATTCAGATTAATACCCCACAATAGCTAGTGTTTGCTGGTTAAAAGTAAAAACCAACTGCCCAAGAGCTGTGCAAATTGCACATTATAATTGCAAAATAATCGAGTGCAGTGTAGTCAAAATAGTAGTGGCTATTGTTAGAGCGAGATGGCAGGCAAACGTGAAAAAGTGAACGGTTCGGCTATTGGTTTAGTGCACTACTTCTGTCTCTTTTTGGTGCATGCCTTTACCGTTTGTCGGCTGTCTGTTTTGATTTTCTCTTCGTGAAAATAAGCGCGCGAAAGGGGTGCTCGTGTACTTTCTTTTGACCTACCGTCCACCCACTGGTCTCGACCCACCAACCCCATCCCCCCGCAGCCCAGTCCCTCGTGTGCATCGCAATGTTTGATAAGTGATAAAGCCAGATGTTTGTGTATATATCGCCGCCAAATGTCCCGACACTCACACACACACATGTTGCACACATTTTATACTTTTTGCCGCCTTCCGACTTTCGGTCGTGTAACTTGAGCCTAATTCGTTAACGCCTGACAACATTCGTTATATATATTATATTATATATAGAGCCCGACCTCCACATTGAGAGCTACCAAAGAGGCCCAGGAATTGTTTTAGTCACATCTCTAAAATCCCGCAGAGGAGCAACGTTTCTAATAAGCAAGCATACATAAATGGTTTCTACTTTCATTGGTCTATTAGGTGAGTTTCAAAATTGGAAATACAATTAAACTTATTGTTCAAAGTATTAACACAATAGTTTGATCGGAAGCTAAAGTTAATTTGCTTAAGGCATATAAATAAAATAAAATTCCTCTCGGTTTTACAGACATTCAATCATGGTGGGAGATACCGTGTATTTCGCATTTCTGTTCATTGTTTAGTTCCGCCTTTGATCTGCCCGACATCGACATCGAGGTAAGAGTTTTTTTAATAATCATTTAAGAACTATCTAATTAATAAAGCCCATCCAATCTGCAGGACCTCGAATCGGCGCTGCTTTCCGATGGTACCAGCGATGAAGATCAGGTCGCCTTAGTGCCCGAGTTAATTGTGCGCCTGCTAAAGGGCTGCGATGCGCTACAGTCGGTAGCCAAGGAAATCACACACAGCAACTATCAGATGTTCTTGCGTCGCTTCCTGCGCCAACAGTGTCGCCTGCACCAGACCGAGAACCATTTCGACACGGACATTGACTTCCAGTCGCTGCCCGTGCGCAAACGCCTGCACATCCTGCACGATCTGTGCCACTTCCGCCTGGACTCGACCGATGTGCAGGTTATCCTCAGCAATCTAGAGGCGGACAGTCTGCGCGTGGAGCCCCTCGGCTACGACGCCAAGAACTCCGGCTATTGGTATTTCTACGGCACGCGGCTATATCGTGAGGATAAGGCCACCAGCGGTGCGGCAGCCTCCAGTTCGGCTTCGGGATCAGGGAGCGCAGGTGCATCAACTGGCGGAGCGTCGAGCAGCAAGGGCATCGGCAGCAACGGCACCGTCTGGCAGGTCATCTGCTTCACCGAGGAGGACTGGCAGAATTTGGCTGCCAAGTTTAAGACCTCGACGAACGCCAAGGAGCGCGAACTCTTTCACATACTCGATGACAACTTCCTGCCTAAGTTGCCGCAGCTTTTCCGCGAGCGCGAGCGTTTGAGGCGCAGAAAGTGAGTGAAATTGCATTTGGATTTAAACTTCGGAGTATTTGGAACATGTTTTCGAATTCGATTCCCCCTGATTAAGCAAAATTTCTAACATATTTATGTCTTTCACATTTAGACTTCTGCAAGTACGCAATTCCAGCCGCATCCGGAACATTGCTGAGTTGAAAGCGCGTCAAGAGGAAGAGCGCCAGCGTCGGGAGCGGGAAAATATTTACCAGGAACGGCAAAACGCGCCCTGGCTGGCACCGCCCCAGCAGCAGCAGCAGCAACAACAACAGCAGCAACAGCAACAGCAGCAGCAATCCCAGCAGCGCACACGCAGACGGTTAGCACGCCAATGTTCCTAAGAAGGCTGGCGGAAGCGACGGCCACATCTCACGCATACAACAGGAACCAAATTCGAAACAGATACATCCAACACACACTTGCATACCAAAAGCATCTTTGATTTATGTTTTCAATTGATCTTTTGAGTTGCTGTACTTTTATGATTTGTTGAGCCAAAACACTTTTTGCTTACAACTTGTGTTGCTGCAGTAAATGAAACCAAATCTAATCACCGTCATCAACATCTACGATAAAACCGGGATCAGGACGAGCGGAACGATGATCAGCACTTAATTTGAGTTTTGCCCATCATTTAATTTTGTATATGGAAGAATTGGTTGGATTTCGTTTTCAAAAAAACTCTGTAAGCATGCTTTTTGATCTATTGATATTTGATATATATCTTAACTTATGATTTAAGTTTATTTAAGCTCAAGTTCTCAGTTTCATCCCATTCACGAGTCACAGACAAAGACAATCATATCAAATATCCGTTTATCATCAGATTACCATAACTTAAAAAGATGATTAAATAAAAATTTAAATTAATTTGATCTTGATCAAATTTTTCTTACTCCTTAATATCAAAACAAAATTTAGATAAATTTTTTCTTTTGCTAATTACCAACTTTGTGTTTTTCTCTTAATTATCTTTTAGATCTCAATCAACATCAACTGCTAGTGGTATTTCAACCTACGCAAGCTCCCTCAGACGAACAACCACAACTAATTCGAGCGAATTTCTGTGCCACAGGGAAACCTTCTGCCTCTCGCCAGAAAACGAAGAAGACGACGACAACAACGACGACGAGGAGGAGGCTATCGACGCGGATCAGCAGTCAGATCAGCCAGAACACCAGCAAGCAGACGAGCAGCCTCCAGAGGAGGAGCAGCGGCAGGAACCAGAGGAATTATTAGCTGTCTCAGCAACTGGAGACGATTTTCGCTCTCCAGAAGCACCGAAATCGCAAACGCCGGCGGAATTGAAGAGTAAGGGTAGTCACCACCACCATCATCATCATCACCACAAAAAGAAAAAGTCGGGCAAAAAGCAAAAGAAACGCCATCATCGAGATAGAGATCGTGAGCGGGATCGCGAACACCATCATCATCATCGGCGGCGACACAAGCATGCCTCAGAGGCAGACGAAGGCGAGGACGACAACAATAACCACAACAGTAACAGCAATAGCAACAGCAACACCAATAGTACCAGCAGCAACAATAGTGCCCAGCCCAAGCGAAGACGCAGTGGCCAGCAGCAACATCATCATCAGCAGGTACATACAGCCGAGCCTTCTACTTCTTTAAGTCCTGAGGACAAGGAGAACTTTTGTAGGCAGCTACAACTTCTGGACACCAATTCGGCGGCTATTGCTGTAGCCACGAGTATAGCTGATCTCAGTCTGCCATCGCCGGTGGCACATGAGAGCGAATCGGACCAGGAAGAGCAGGTTGATCAAGCCGCAGCAGTAGAACCAGTTCCGCCACCGCCACCACCAGTTGCTTCTTCAATGGCGCCAGCGGCAAATGTGAAATTGCCCGGCAGGCAAACAAACAATTCGCTGAGTTCGCTGACTGGAAATATATTCATACCGGGAGGAAGTGCACAGCAACAGCAACAAACACAGCAGCAGCAATCTCAGGAGCCGCAGAGCAGTAGCAGTAGCAGTCACAGTGGCACCACGACAACCGCCAGCACTGTACGTTCCAAGAAACAGAAGGCGGTGCTGAACAGCAGCGGGAGCAGCAGTACCAGCAAAGTGGCGGACAAGGCGGATCGGAACTTGAGCAAGGCGGAGGCTAGCAAGTCCAAAAAGTCGGCGGCAGGCTCTTCGGCGTCTTCATCTTCCAGCAAGGCGGAACGGAACAGCGGTGCCTACTCGGACAAGAGTGGCGATGAGTAAGTGAGGGTGGAGAGTTTCGATCCCCAGACACAACACAATCGTACTGTCCGTTTACTCTCGACATATTCTTTAATCATTCCTTATGCTTCTGCTTGCTGTTGGAGTTGTGGGCATCATGTTATAGATATACGTACATCTTGATTAAGAACAGACTAACTTCGTAAAGAATCACATTCATAACATTCTAAACTAAGTAAAGATTTGTATAGAAGAGCTTGCAAATCTGATTAAATAACTTCAGTATTCGTAAAAGTATTAAAATCATAAATTTGACCAATAAAACATTCCAGAGAGATTAAAACAATTTCGAAACGACTTAATCAAGGTATAATTTTATCAAGCATTCATGATGCTCAACTCTTGTATTGTTGTTGATTTTGTTTATTGAGTTTTGGGCCCTATGCAGTGGTCTTGGTTTAATTTATATCCTTAATCCCTAAGCTAAAATTGTTCATAATTCGTTCTCACTTTATTGAGTGATCTTATAAGCCTTTGCATGTTGTCGCCTTCTTTCAAACATTCACCCATCAAATTGTATATAATATGATCAATTGATTAACATATTTATCATTGTTATTGTAAACTTTTGTACCCACCCGCAAAACAAAAACATTCCGACTGTTGATCATCAAAAACAAAAAAAAAAAAAAAAACCCGACCAAATGTAGCCATGTAAATAGTAGCAACCGTAGCACCACCAACAACAACAGCAGCCTTAACAACAACAACAACAACCATAAGCACGCGTCGCACCACAGTCACAACAACAACAACCACTCGACGACGGCATCGGCTACAACAACAACAACAGCAACAACGACAACGTCGCAGGGATATCATAATAACTCGAATCATAATCAGAATAATCACAACCACCAAACCTCCCACTCACATCATACCACCCACCACCACCACCATCATCATCATACAACTAATAATCACAGTAACAAACATAAATCCAAGACGCACCACTCCCTAACCCACAACAACAACAACAATAATCACACAACAAATGCAACAAGCACATCACAACACCACCCAGTAAACACAAACAACAACAATTCAACGTACAACTCCTCCAATCATGCGAATATTCTTAGCTTTACCGAAACGGAGGAAGTCCTGCAAATCGGGATGCACAAGGTGCTCGTCTACGTGAAGAACCATCGGGATGCCTGGCCATTTGTGGATCCAGTGGAAGAGGATATAGCGCCGCGCTATTACTCGATCATCAGGAGGTAAGTAGTAAATATGGGAGAAGATTACAAATTACTTAAAAATGAAATCTTATTTTTCCAGACCCATGGACCTGCTGAAGATGGAGGACAAACTGGACAGTGGGGAATATCACAAATTCAGCGAATTTCGGAACGACTTTCGCTTGATTGTCAATAACTGTAGATTGTACAATGGGCACAATAATGGTAAAAGTTCACATTTAATACAAAAATCAAATTAAAAATCAATATTAATTGGTTTCACAGAATACACGGAGATGGTTAACAATCTTCAGGATGCTTTCGAGAAGGCCACCAAAAAGTACTTTGATAATCTCTCCGACGACGAGGACGATGATCCCAATCTGAGCTATCCCGCCGCCGACTCAAAGATGAACGTATTTCGCGAGAAGTACTTTAGCAAGAAGGCAAAGGAAGAGACAGAAAAGGATGAAGCAGATCGCCCTGGGAGCAGTGCCGAGGATGATCTCAGCGAGATCGAAGCGGAGGCTCCTCAAAAAGCACAGAAGCGCAAGCGTAAGGAAAAAGACAAAAGACGGAAAAAGAAAACGAAGAGTAAGGTGGATGTGGAAACGGATGACGAGGGTTTGGAGTCCGAGAGGGAACCAACGCCACCGCCTCCACCTCCTCCGCCAACCAGTAAGAAAAGCAAAACAGGCAAGGTAGCCAAGGAAAAGGAGAAAGATAAGGAAAAGGAAAGAGATAAGGAGAAGGAAAGGGATAAGGAGAAGGATAGGGACAAGGAGAAGGAAAAGGAGACCAGTTCCTCTAAAAAGGGACGTAAGAGTAAGGGCGAAAAATCCACTACTAAGCCCAGCAAACAGCAACAAAAGACCAAAAAAGGGGCCAAGAAGTCAGCGCCCGAATCAGACCTAGAGTCGGATCTCAGCGATAGTCGCGGGAGTGAGGACTACAGCGATGATGACCACATAACGTTGGCCAAAACCAAGTCACTGGTTAAACCGACAGCTCGAACGATAGCGGCCCAGAAAAAGAAATCGGTGCCAGCTGAGTCCAAAGTTAAGATGCCCACTCCAGTGAAACGCCAAGTTAAAGGCAAGGGTAAGGGAGGACGTAAGGCTAAGGACGACTCACTGGACAGCGAGCAATCCGATATGGATGTAAAGAAACAACTTCCACCAACGGCAGCTGCTGCTTTAGCCGAATCAGCCGCCGAGCTGGAGGAAGATGGTGACGATCAGGCCGCCGATGAAGATGATGATGAGGACAGCTCGCGGTCACGCAGCATGTCACCCTTCAAGGTTGATCTCCACAAGAAATACTCAAAAAGTGCCCTTAACGATGATCTCTCCGAGCTGCTGACCACCGTGAAAAAAGTTCCAACTGCGGAAACTACCAAACTGAGTGCCCGGCACCAGGATGAAGCGAATGAGGAAAGATCCTTCCGAGAGTCTGATGGGGACTTTAAATCCCTGAGCAGCAGTCGGGCCAGCTCTGAGGAGCGACCGCCGGTCGCAAAGAAAGGAAAGAAGGGGGAAAATTCCAAAAAAGAGAAGGAAAAGAAGAGCAAAGACAAAGATAAAGATAGGGACAAGGATAAAGACAAGGACAAGTCCCGCAGCACTAAGCACAAGAAGACTAAAGATGAATCCCCCCAACTTTCAGCAGCCGCCGCTGCAGCCGCAGCCGAGCAGGCTGAACTGGAGATGCTGCTGCCCTTCATGGACAAGTACGATGTGATCAAGTACCGACGTAGTCGTGCTGCCCTAAGTGGTTCAAGTGCCTCTAACTCGATAGCTCCCTCCGAGGACTCCAAACCAGCAAGCACCAAGAGCAGTCGGGAGAGCAAAAAAGCTGCATCGAAGCGGGAAAAGTCCCCTGATCCTGTGGAGCACAAGCGGGGGCGTAAGAGCAAAGACCAAAAACGAACAAAGGAGTTAGACAAACCGGAGAAATCTGAAAAGGCTTCCAAAATTGACTCCGATAAACAATCAGAAAAATCAAAGAAAAAGGAGGAGCATCCCAAAGTGGTGGAAAAACCTCCAAGAGAAAAATCACCTGCAACGGTAGCTCCTTTGGAAACGATAAAAGAACCTCCAGCTCCAACTCCCGCGCCTACACCAGCGCCCAGTAAGGCGAAAGAACCTTCTGGTAAAACGGCAGCTAAGAAAAAAACCGACAAGCAAATGCCGCCTCCTCCAAAACCTGCCGATAAAACAAGTGAAAAGGGATCTGGTAAGAAGGCTTCCAGCAAAAAGGCCGCCCAGAAGGCGGGTCAACCGCAGACCAACAACAACACAAATCTGGAAGCATTGGATGTGGAGACAGAGCAGACCCTCAAAGACATCAATCGCTGGCTGGAGCACACCCCCCGGTTCACGGAGTTTAGTTCGGCTAGTAATTCACCTTCCCGATATAATCTCTTGGATGATTTTGACTCGGGAATTGGTAGTAAACTGGATGCGGCCGATTTTCGACGACCAGTGGCATTGGCTGCTCCAAAGGCTGAATTGGTACCAACTAAATTGGCAGAGGCACTCAACGAACTAGTGAGCGAACCAAAGGAGGCAGTTAGCAAATCTGAATCCGAGTCAGTAGCTCCAACGCCGAGCAGTGTTAGCAGCAGCTGTGGAACTCCACCGCATTCGATGCACTCTGGAAACTCCATTGGCAGCACATCCGCTACAGCGGCTTCCAGTTCGAATTGCTCCAATAATTCGATGCCCACTCCTTTACCCGCCGTAGTTACTCCAACCCCAGCACCTGCTCCTCCACCACTTCTTCCGGTTCCCAAACCAAAGGAACCAAGTACCACTCAACTTATTCTTAATCCACCACCTCCGCCACACATTAAACAGCAGCTGGCCAAGGAGGCCAAGCGTAAGTCCTTGAAAGAAAAGCAGGCGGCTCAGGCTGCACAAGCTCAGCAGGTGAAAGCCAAGACGAATGTAATGAGAACCATCGATCGGCTTCAACCAGGCAAAACCAAGGGAAATCTGTTGCAAAATGTGGCAGCTGGAAAGACAGCGGAGGAGGGAGCAGACTCTCACGCTAGTACAAATCCAGTAGCCACTAAGGTGAAGGAGCTGAAGAATGCTCTCATCACGGAAACATGCGAGGGAGCACCGAAACTAAGTTTGGGTACGGTTCTTAAAACCCAGGACTTTTCATTGGGCAAAAGTCTTGAGGAAATGTCAGGAAAGAAAGCTGGAGATGAAGATGAAACTCCAAATGAAGAATCAAAATCGGAGAATACTTCGACACCAACAACCCCTAACAAGGAGCCACCAAAACCTTTTGAAGCCCTTCTCGAACTGAGCAAAATCGGCAAGTCCTCAGAAGCATCGAAAACGGAAGCGAGTCAGAAGGAGAAGCCCAATCTGAGTGCTTGGCTTAAAGCTTTTGGTGGTCCAAAGGTTAGCAAAAAATCTGAGGACGACGACAAGCAGCAGACACCTTCCCTGGATATTCAAGGGGATGCAAAGGTGGCACCACCAGCTCATTCGCCTGCTGGGGATAACTTTTCCCTGCCAACGGTGATGCGTCAAAGGAAACCAAGCACCGGCAGCACGAATTCTGAGAGAAGTTCCTTTAGCCAGGATCCGGATTCGCCAAGAATCGCGATCGATGAGCGTTATGGTTCCTATGCTGCTGGTTCTTATACCTCCCCTATTGGTGCCTCGCCCATTGGAGCATCTCCCATTATGGTTTCTCCCAAGCCCAATGATGACATGGGTAAACCAGCCTCTCCTTATCCCCTGAATGGAGCTATTAAAGTTGGCTTCTACCAGGACACCACGACCAAAAGCAGTCCGGACAAGAGCTGCAGTCCTAGGGAGATGAACTCTCCTTATCCCCAATACTCCCAGCATATCTACTCCTCCGCCTCGTCGCCTAATGTTTCCACTCCGGATATGAGTGGAACATCTCCGTACGGTGGTGGAAACAGCTACAATCCTTCGGGCTCTGAGGCATCTAAGACTCCGGCCTATTCTTCCACATCCCCGCTTCCAATTTACGACCAATACAAGCAACCGCGCTCCCAGGAATCGGATTACAACTCTTCGATGAGTCCGAGCACTCCAAATCCACATTCGCCTTACCAACAACCTCAAAGCTCGCCTTACACCACCCCGCAGCAATCGCAATCGACGCACCCGTCGCCATATCATGGCCAGTCGCCTTACCACCAGCAGCAGCATTCACCATATCATCCTCCCGCTGCTCAGCAGCAACAGCAATCCACACAGCCATCACATAGTCCGGCATCCCATCAGCAGGCTCTTAGTCCGATGCATAGTGTGGAATCGCCTGCATCCTCGGCAGCTACACAGCCACCTACACCGTTGGCCCAATCGCCGGCGGAGCAGCAGCACTCGCCGTACCAGCAGCCCGTATTGTCACCTTATCAGCAACCACAGCAACAGGTGCAGCCGCCCGTTGTTCCGCCAATACAGCCTGCAACAGGTGCTGTGACTTCAACAGGTAAGTGTTTATTGCTTTATCAGTTCATGCCGGTTTTTAATCCATTTCTTGTATTTTAGCCTTGAGCAACAATGGTTATGCAGCTACTCACGATAGCTACCAGCAACTCCAGCAGCAACAGCGTTCTTTGTATAACCCAGCCACTTTAATAAATCCTCTGCCGACTTCTGCGTCTTCAACTGCTTCCATAACCAAGCCGAACAATGATTGGAGTCTAAATCGCAGTCTTTTGCCGCCTACCATCACCAACACTGTAAATCAGGCGACACAGCAGCAGCAACAAGCTGGGCAGCTACAACAGCAGCCACAAATGCAGACAACGCAGCAGCAGTTGCAAGCAACAAGCCAACAGCAGCAGCAATTACAAGCAACATCCCAACAGCAGCAGCAGTTACAAACTCCACAGCAGCAGCAGCAATTACAGACACCTCAGGCACAGCAGCAACAATTACAGGCACCTCAACAGCAGCAGCAACAGTTGCAGACTCCACAGCAACAGCAGCAACAGGTGCTGGGCCATCAGCAGCAACTGAAACCGAAATATCCAACCTATGCGCAATATCAGTCAACAAATGCCGCAGCTAATGCAGCAGCGGCAGCAGATGCAGTTGATAGTTTGCAACAGCAGCAGCAGAAGATTGTGCCGCCAACTTATGGCAGTGATATGGCCACATTTATGCAGCATCAAATGCAACAGCCACCCAAAACTGATACGCTAATAAATCCACTGAAACGACCTGGAGAGGAAATTGGTATGGATTACAGTGGAAATGCGGGGAATAAAATGCAAAAAATGGACGAGACTCCTGCGCAGCAGCCGCAGTTACAGCAACCGCAACAACAGCAGCAGCAGCAACCAACCCAGAACCAAACTCAATCTCTGCTCAACAAGCAACAGCAAATGTTTAACAGTTTCTTGGGATCCATGGCTTTTGGCAAACCTATAGCTAATATTGCACCTGACAAGGCATTTGAGATGTATAACCGAGCTGCAGCTATGGGTTTCCCTAAGGACTTTGCAAAGGACAACAGTTGTCAACTGCAGCAGCAACAACAGCAGCAGCAGTCGCCACAAGTGGCTACAAATAAGCAGCAAACAAACCAACAAACGCAGCAGCAACCGCAGCAGACAAACCAACAATCGCAGCCGCACCTCACTCAACTTCAAACGGCACTTACTCAGAACTACCAGCAACAGCAGCAGCAAGCGCAGACACAAAAGTTACCACAACAACAGCAGCAGCAACAACAGCCGCAACAACTTAACTACCAGCAGCAGCAGACACAACATAATCACAACTATACCCCGCAGCAACAGCAAACTTCAGTGCCGGACAAGACTCCGGCAACGCAGTCCGCAGTTTCTGCTGCGGTTGGCGATACAACCAGCAACATGATGAACTTACCCTCGACCGCGCACCAGCATCATCTCAGTCAGACGCATCACCTTGCTGCCTACAATAAACCAACACCGCCTCCTCCACAAACGTACAGTAATCCTTTGATGCAATCGATGCTGGGCTATGCCGGAAACTATTTTGACAAGGCTATGCCTCCGGCTGCCCATATGTACAGTGCCTCGAGTTCAGCAGCCACGGCCTATGGAAATCCTGCGCAACAGTTGCCAGGTAATTACGTTCCCGGCAATAATAATCCTGCACACCAGCAACAGCAACAGCCACAACAGCAGCAAGCTCCTGTAGTTGCCCCAGCGGAAGTGAAAGCTCCTGCGAAAAGGGGAAGGAAGAAGAAGGCAGCTACCATTGCTGCAGAAGCAGCGGCAGCAGCAGCCAAGCAACAGCAGCAGCAGCAACAACAACAACAACAGCAGCAGCAGCAGCAACAACAACAGGCGCAACAACAGCAACAGGTGACCGCCCAGCTACAGCATCAGCAGCAACAAGTGGCAGCCCAGCAGCAGCAGCAGCAACAACAAGTGGCCGCACAACAGCAGCAACATCAAGCCATGCCACAATACAATATGCCGCAGTCAGTGGCCTCCGCCGCCGCTGCTACCAACAATCAGCTGCAGGCGCACGCGCAGGCGCTGCACCAAGGCTTCCAATTATATGCGGGCTTAAAGTCCGGTGGAGTATCCTCGCCAGTGGGCGGCACAGCTGCGACGCCGGCAGCTGGTGGAACGACCAGTAATCAGACGGCAGCCGATGCGGCAGCCATTTCACTGAAGACATCTACGGGTGGAATGGTTCCAGGGAGTGCCTTCAACTTTGCGCCCACACCAGGAGCTCTGGGCTTGTACGGCGACCAAGCTGCGGCAGCTAGCAGCTATTTAGATCAATTCAGAGATGCCCCGAATCCGTACTATATGCCACCAGCGCCGGCACACAGCGGAGCGGCTGCAAACCCAAGTGGAAATGCAGCGGATAAGAGTCAAAACCCACTGAACACGGCAGCCGGATCATATCCCTTCCTGGCGGCGGCACATCCATCTACCCGGGCAGCAGCAGCTGCAGCTGCTTATCCCTTTGGCGATCCCAATTCGCAGCTGTATCAGCAGTACCTAAGACGCGATGACTTTCACACGCGGATGATATTCAATCAGAGTCTGTTGAGCGGGCCGGCAGCGGCGGCGGCAGCAGCCGGATATGGTCAACCGCCGCCGCCGCCATCTGCCTATCAACGGGCTGCACTGGGCATGCCCAAGCCGTATGACATTAACCGGCAATCATGGTTTTAGCAGTACGCCAGTGCCGCCAACGTGGATCTCCAAGGGGACGACCTGACGGGGGCGGCAACTGGAACAGCATCGGGATCAGCAGCAGCTTCAGCTTCGACTGCAGCTACACAGCGATGAGATCGAAGGAGTCTACAGGGCTAGAAAGGTTTCAAATCCACATGCAAATTGGTTCCAAAGAGGTTAACAAACACCACAGTTTTCGTTTCCATTTTCGAGTTTACCCGGCAAAGTTGTTTTAGATTTATTTATTTTTTTAAAATCTCTAAAATGTATTGATATTTCTATTTAAGCTTAAAGGTTTATCTAGTTTGTTTTCCAATTATTTAATTAATTTTTATGGTAAAAGATTTCTAAACTGGAATTCCTGTGTGTAAAAGTAAACTTCTTGTTTTGTACTGATATTTGATATTCATTTGCAAGACTCGAACTCCACTGCCCGCCCAACTTTCCCGCGATTTTCATTTTTTTTCTGTATTCTATGACCATTTTCTTTTTGTGCAATGTTTCCTTTTGACTGCAGTTGCGCCCTGGACTTTGGCCACGCCTAATTAGCAAGTTTGTTGGTCTTTAGTTTGTAGTTACTTTTAGTGGTCTTTAGGTTATAAGCCTTTTGTTAATGACAATTACTTTTAATAGCTGTAGCTGCTAATTAGGCCTCTAATCTAATTTAATTAAACTTAATTTGTTTTAAATGCTTAACAAAAGAAACTAAGCAGAATAAGCGAAAGAGAGGAATAATGCAAAAAATTCAAAGAATTACTCTAAAAGCGCTACCCCTGACTATAATTAGACTTTAGTTATTTTTCCAGAATTTAACTCGTAACTATAGAAACTCGTGTAAATGAACTACGATTATTAATTTTATTACTACTATTGATTATGTACTATGACTATTGTAACTATTATCGATTCGTGCTGCGGGCGACTTGTTAATATTTATTAATCCAACTAAACAAAGAGAGATTCGCAACACACACACACACACACACACACACAAAAACCAACACTAAAGCTAATTACGAGATCTAAGTTAGGGAAAAACTTTTAGTTTGTAGAACGCCAAGAAATTGTATAAATTTTTGTTAAATATGCTAAGTAAATAAGTACGGTTTAAGCCCCTCCACTTTACCATCCTCATAAACTAAAATAAACCAATGTGTAAACCCACAGACAGAGCTCTCACATATGTGCAACATTCCGCCTGAGTCGTCCCTCTCATCCATCCCCTTCCATAATCCCCCATAAAACACCATTTTGCTGTACATACAAAAAACCAGACAAGTGAAAACTTATCTCGTTTTTACACATCTCAAATTGTAGCTTTAAACGATGTAAAAATCGGATATAGATTCGACGAAAAGCAAAACAATTGAAATTTATGAATTATGAATATGAAAAAGTGTCTTAGTCGCTATAAAAAAGCGAACAGAGCAGATGAAATGAGAATGAAACGCATTAACCGAGCGCCCATAATAATATTAATAAATATATATATATATTATATATTATATATTATATAGTGAAAACAATAAACAAGAGAACCCGTATTCAGTTAAGTTGTTAAAGCTTTCGTTTTGCAAACGTAAATTTTAAATTTCATTACGATAAAATATAGTTGATAAAACCACAAATGGATCGGAGTTAGAGATGAAGATGCGATAAGAAATTGCGAATAGACGGTACCTAGAGCATAAAAGAGCAGCAACAAACATATTTAAAGAACCACAAGCTAAATATTATATTAATAATGAACATATATATACATAAATTATATATACAAACATATATATTATATGCAGTAAGTGCAGCGAGTGCACATTATACATAAATCTGTATGTATAGGCCACAGCAGCAACAAGAGTAAATTACAATAAAGAATTCTATTGCATATTGTACGAAAAAATAAAAAGAATGAAAACCAAAAATTCAAAAAAAGAAACCATGTTTGAAATCAAGGTGATAATTTCACCAAAAACTATTATTATGCAATTTGTTGGGGCTCTCGACACGGCACGCGTTCATTTGCATACAATTGCAGTCCGGAGATTGCGATTACTATGTTACTACTGCCCTTCACCAGCTGCTTGGTGTTCCCAGTTTCCAATTCCCAGACGGCAATTGCAGACAGCTGTGCTTGATTACTACTATATATGGCCTGGCTATATAGCTCCATCGATCATCTATATGCAGGTCTTCTAGAACGGCACGAAGTCGGGAAGCGTGTTGTGCTAATGCACTGTGCCATTTACCAGCCTCTGAACTTACACGGCTTTCGAATCGAAATTGAAATTGCTTAAAGCAATTGATCAGTTTTAATTATCGAAAGACAAAGTTATTATAACATTTTCTTGGATTGAAAGTGACATGTGTGCTTGGGAGGGGGGTTATCCCAGGAATCTTGACTTTTGCGAGAGGGCACAAAACTTTCCGCACCGGGGTGAAAGTTCAAGACTCCGGCGATGACGTGTTGCAAAGCAGGTTAAGGAAAAACACCCAATTAACCCAAACATGCCGCTAATTAAATATATATACATATACACAAAACTTAACCCAAAACACAGTGCGTGACTAATGCAACCTGTAGCCCCTGTTCTGGTTCTGATCCAATGCCCTCTTCTTGGCCGGGGTTTATCCGGCAATTAGCGGACCCATTACATTGCTTTTCAACACCCATTAATACGTCGTAATCTATATCAAAGATTGCCTTTGAGTCATGCTTCTATATCTATCCTTCTATATAAGTTCTTGTGATTAATGATCTTAACAACTTTGTTGGCCCGGGTGGTAAGCGAAATTTTCATCCGGTTAGAACCAGTCGATTTGATTTTAATACCTATAATAATTATTGTGCATGTTAATTGGTTTATTCACCAGCGATCGAAACGGTTTTTCGAAAATGTATGGAAATTAAAGCAAACACAGCACCAGCTTCAGCAACAGCACCAAAATAAGACTAATAATATTCAAGTCAAAACCGGCAAGAGAAACACATTTAAATTTTGTTTTTATAATGAAATGCAGGCGTGCATAATAAATTCGAGAATATTTAAATTGCAATTTGTTAATTAAATGCCGGCAGTTGCGTAACGATTGTTATAATATTCGTTTTTTTACGAAATTCTTGCGATGTTATTGACACGCAATCGTATTTGGCTTTGTCGATTAACCTGAGAATTTCAAATATTTAAATTATCGAGATATTGTAATATTCTAATTGGCCGAAAATAGGCGTGGCCGTCATTGTGTTTAGTCACGCTGCGATTTTCACCTGCCGGCAAATGGAGGCATTCTAATCTAGCCTCCGGCTCGAGATTTATGTGCTGCATTATTGCATAATTTACGAGCTCATTGCTGAGCTTAAAACTAAACAAATAATACATAATAATCATGTTGAAAGAGCGAACAAAAAACAAAAAACAAAAGCAAAAAATTACAACATTAAAACAATATTGTGCGTCGTCGTTACGTTGCTGACCAAAAAGGTCATTCAATTTATGCACTCGTAATTGTTGCTATGGGATTGTATTCCATTCTATAAGCAAGCTATATATATATATATTCTCCATCGAAGAGAAGGTGCTATTTAATTGGGTATATCAGCTGGTCGAAGGTGGTTGAGATTGGTTCATGTTAATGGACTAGAAATTGAGTTAACATAGTTCTAGGAAGTCCTAGGAAGAAATTTATCAAGCAAAAACTTTAAATTCTATAAAAAGAATAATTTTTCTTGATTTATTAGCTAATTAAAGATAATAGTTGGATTTCTTTAAATGTTTATCATTACTAGTTACAGCATAGAAATATTTTAATTCGTAAAACCCTTTCTATGTGCTTGGCCATTATTAGTTCCTATAGTTCCTAGACTATACTACCAATCAAACTGCAATTAAAGTAACATTTCATGATCGGCTCTTTAGGGCATTGGATAATCACCGTCACAAATGGTACTTGGCTATATGTAATTATTACATTACATCTCTGTAATGGCCACGTTTAAATTGACTTTTATTGATTTCGTGTGTAGTCGTCAGTGGCGATGGCGGTGTAAATCAAGGAAAATGTGCAAATAACATGCAATCAGTCTGCCAAGTGGCTTACTCAGTCTCACTGTTCTCGGCATTTGTTTATCACACATAATGCGCCTTTTACTTTCTAAATTTAAATTACAAGCCATGCTTCTCTGAACTGCCCTCCCTCTTTCCATTACAATTTGCAAGAATCTCCTTAGTCGGTGGCTTAGTCAGTGAGTTAACTTGGACTTCCGTTTGTGAATCAACTTTTTGTGGCGGGGGGGAGAAAGATATCCGCGCAATTAATACAAACAAATCAAATTAAATCGAACTTAAAAATAGCGTTCCCTTGGCCGCCGTTCATTGAACTCCTGTATCTCCGGATTTTTTGGTTTTTGGTTTTAACTCTTTGGAGCTGGCCGGCCTTAGTTGTCAATATGTTTGTGGTTAGCCATTAAGACAATGTTTTATAGAGGGTGCGGTTTGAACTTGGCCTTTGAATGAGATTGATTATACATACAAATGGTTTGCTGTGCATTTGTCTAATACTTAGTTGCTAATGTAATACAGATCTAGCCCTGTCATCTCTCTCTCTCTCATATTAGATAATCGTCACTGATCACAACATTGTTTGGCCACACGTTCATGATTAATGGATGATTACAAGAGGATTATGTAGTTGTTGTCGTTGTTATGATTGTGCTCCGATCACGTAGTCGCTAAGAATTTACATTGCCGTTTACAAGATAATGCCAAAGTCGCACATTAACTCATATTTAAGCGTTTCCGACATAATCAAAAGACTTAAGCGGCGAACTTCGACTTCCTGCACAGGTGGAAAAACCAAAAATCAAAACGAAATCCAAAAAAAAAAAAAAAACCAACCTGCCCAGCATTCAAGTTCAATGGAATTTTCGTGCACGCGCCGCACAGCAAAGTAAAGCGAGAGATTTAAATTTAAATTTAGAATGCAACTGCCAGTTGATTAAATATTGCATTACATAAAATGCAAAAGGCAAAAAAGTTAAAGTAAAGCAAACAAATAAATGAGCTCACCCCACTGTCAGCGACCAGCGACCAGCGACTCATGACACTTCAAGCTAATTAGTCGCCACTTTTCACCCTCGTTTAAGCATTGAAAGTATCTTAGTATCTTAGTATCTTGGTGTAACTGTCGCTAAAACATCATCGCAGCTGGTCTAATGAAATTGTTACTGGTTTTTAATATCGGCAGCTGTTCGATTGAATCGTAATTTATGTTAATATACAGAAGCCCACTAACTAACACCTCCGATACGTCTAACACGAAACTCAGCTAATAAAAATGCCTTAGAAAGTGCATAACCTTCGTTGGCTTAGAATTTCGTATTGCTTGCGTTGAGAACTTCAGAAAAGAATTTAAGATTTTTGGAGTTTGGATTTCCAAAAGCCAGTCTTTAACGGTAGCCAAACAGAAACTGGGCGTTAAAGTGGAGCATATTGAGAGATTATGCTAAATAGCTTTGGGGAAATAACCAGTTTTGATGGCGTGAAACCCAGGCCTTAAAAAAATCTGTCAAATCATTCGATTAGCAAATAAACTTACCATTGTGAAAATACTCGTGGATAGAACGTTTCCTAGGAAATAACCCAACAAAGAACTATGCAAATTACCCACAGAAAGATTTGATCTTCTTCTCTAAAGCAACCGCAGTATTTCCGACTTGGAAATTAGCACAAAAAAAGTGCCAGAATCAAAACAGAATGCTGATCTGTCGCACAAAAAAAAAAAAGAGAAAAAACCCCTTGTAACTGGGAAAAATAACCACTTTTTGAAAGTATCTCTCAAATGACAATCTGGCCATGACTCAGATAGTAGCAGCATTCGGTCTTGACGCAAGTGCGTTGGGGAAGACCAAGTCGAGTCAGCTAAACTGGATTTTGTGGCACAGACAAGCCATCAATTAGCATGTTGACTTCTTTTGGCTTTAAT